AAAACACATGACAACACGGGTGCGAAGGTTAAAGATTCTGAAGTTGTGGACTTGGGAGTTTTGTTGTGTAAGTTTGGTCCAAAGCTTGTAAAATTTGAGCGAGATGTATACGTTGCACATCCATAGAGATGACAAAGACCCCCCTTTCCAGCTTCAGTGTCTGCAGCAACCTCTTTGTCTTTCTTTTTTCCTCTTGTGCTGCCTCTTTTTTCTCTCGGTGAGCATTGTACTTTCCTCGACTAAGTTGCCCTTGTCTTGTGCAAAGAAATAAATGTCACACTTATCCTTTCTTGGATGAAAGATAAATTTCTTATCGTCCTGGATTATCTTTTCAGTACCCGTCGAGACAGAGGAAACGTACCAACATTAATGCAATGCTTGAAGTATTCTTTGTATTGATCTACATAGTTTATGCCTGTACAAAAAGTTTACCGTACTATTTTGACATTTCCTTTCTGCAGAGGTGAGAAGGCATCATTGGTATTTTAGAGAGAGGTTCTTTAATTTTTTAATCAGACTAATGCGCTCACTGGTTATCTCAATGTTTTTATACGTCTGCGAGTCGTGGACACTGACAGCAGAACTGGAGAAAAGGATTCAGACAACAAAGATGAGATGCTACCGCAAACTCCTTGACATCTCATACAAAGATCACATTTCAAATGCTGAGGTAAGGAACAGAATCACCAGCGCAGTGGGGCAACATGAAGATCTACTGCTGACCACAGTGAAGAGACGAAAATTAAAATGGTATGGGCATGTCGCAAGATCCACAGGACTTGCCAAAACAATCCTGCAAGGAACCGTACAAGGACAGAGAAAGACAGGAAGGCAGAGAAGGAGATGGGAGGACAACATTACAGAGTGGACACGAAAGACGATGGGTGACAATCTGAGGAAAGCACACGACAAAGAAAAATAGCGAGAGCTGGTTGTCAGATGCAGCGGTTGCCCCAACCACGGGATAGAAGAAGAAGAAGAAAACCGATATCTTTTTAGTAACTGATACGTCTGGACAATCTGTTCTGAACTACTCACTCACACACCCCAGGACGTACACTGTTTCCCACTAGATGCGCTGATAGACACAGATTTTCCCACTCTGATCCCTCCTTTTGCGCCTTCTCGGACAAAGGCGAAAAATCTCGGAGGGCCCGTGTGCAAGTTGCGCACGTTAAAGATACCTTGGTGGTCTAAAATCGATCAGAGTAGGCTTCGGCCGTCACCCGAGCAAAATTCAAAATTCCCTACCAATTGAAAATGTTTTGTGTGTCCCCCGCGCTCATATAACCTTATGCAGTTGCGAGCGTCGAAAAACACTTACAAAAAACAACAACAACCCTTCCTTTGCTGCCCTGTCGGTGGTATTCCTGGGAAGCCTGTCTTCTGGAAACGGATGCCTCTGTTTTTCTTTCTTTAATGTGTGCGGGTGTCAGTGACGGTTTTTACAACTCACCTTTTTTGACACGTTGTCATATTTCAATGCGCGTGTATTTTAAGCTATTGTTTCTTCTGCCGTCTCGTGGTATCTCAGACGACATGCCTCGCACAAACATCTTGAACCCAAGCTTTGAGCACTCCTTTTTAGTTGGGTACATTCATCAGCATGGACGGCTGTATATTGTGTAACAGACTTACACGGTATGTACCATCAATATTCAGATTCAGTAGGGCTACACGGGCTGCTCATGTGACAGTTACACACATTCCTACTGGTTGTCGTGTCCCTAAATCACAAGAGAAGAAGCGTAGTGGCACTGTGATGATAAATACAACGAAAAAACGATGTTTCTATTTTTAGATTTACACGGTTTGCGACTTTCACAGTCGACATGTGTTTCCAATTTGCCAAGTTGCTCTTTTGTTCCAGACGTATACAAGTATGTGTTAGAGGTCCATGAACAATAAATGTTTTTTTGTTCCAGACATATACACGTATGTGTTAGAGGTCCATGAGCAATACATGTTTTTTTGTTTCAGACGTATACAAGTGCACCAAGGCCCCAAGATCTGAAATGCTTTCCCGAGTACTTTAAGAAAGATCAAATCTTTTGATTTATTCAAATGTCATCTGAAGTCGTTTCTGTTTTTAAATTAATAAGATGAATATTTAAAGTGATTTTCTTTAGTCAGAATACAACGTTTTATGTTACTGTTGTTTGTACGCTGTACAGTATTGTAAAGCGCTCAGAGCCTGTATACTTTAATAAGTGTTGAGCGCTATATATAAATGTCATTTATTATTATTATTATTATTATTATTATTATTATTATTATTCCATAAACACGTTTTTGTATGTTTCAGGCGTTTACAAGTATGTGTCAGGTCCGTAAACACGTTTTCTTATGTTTCACGCGTATACAAGTAGGCCTGTGTGTTAGGTCCACAAACAAGTTTTCTTATGTTTCAGCTGTGTACAAGAAGTATAATTTTGTGTTAGGTCCATAAACAACTTTTTGTATGTTTCAGGCGTCTCACGGAGACATCTTTGAAGGAGGT